GGATAGAAGAAATCAACTGTTGAACCATCAGAAGACTTCCATGTCTGATTGGTGTTACACTACTGTCCATACCAATACCTGAAGTTCAAGAAAGAGTGAATATTGGACGAAAAGAGCAAAACAAACACAATGAGATACTCTCTCATCAAAACAATAAGATGCATGTTATTAGCCATGCTTTCAATATGCATGACAATAAACATAAAATTGTTAAAAGTTTATTATCAATGAGTTATTCTCATTCTTTTCTTACCAATTTTTGGAAGTTTTGTTTGTTTTAGAGTAGAAGTGGGTGAAAAAGAAGAAGAAGAAGAAGAAGATGAAGATGAAGTATGATGAGTTGAATTATCATTGAGTCCCTCAAGAAGTTTATCCAGAGTTTCCTGAGGAACCTTGCAACCTCAGCCTCTCAATTCGGCAAATTTGGTCAACCGGAATGAAGGATCTAAACCATATTCTTCCGGGTCAAAAGGTTTATGAACAGCATCGAGAGAAGGTCCAGAGACTTCTAGTTCAACGGCTTGCAAGGCCAAATCAAGAGTATTATCCATTGTAAAACCAACTTGCAGTAGTTTCAATTATTATTGGCGTTAAAGTTACACAAAAGCAGATTACTAAACTGAGAGTTAATAAAGTAAACTTCACAATGGTAAATTAAGAAGCAAGGATGGTGTTTAAATACGATTTCAAACGTGAGGTTCTTTCAAGTCTTTGAGGGGAAAGCAGTTTCCCTCGATGCGTATTAAACTAAAAGGCTGATCTTGCACACATCTTTCCCCTACTTTAAGAAGCAATACAGTAAACCCTCTCAAATTGTCACGTCGTGGGATTAGCATCTTGGCTATTTTCCTATAATAATTAGGCAAAATAGCCCTTTTACGAATTTGATTAAATTTTAAAATTTAATTATTAATTCAATGTAGGTGTTTTTGATTTCTAATTTGATAATTCCTGTATTGAACAGTATTAAATAGTAATTAAGAGTCCTCTCAAAATTTTCCTAATTAAAAAAACTGAATTAAAAGCAATTGTTTACTCGGTTACCATGACTCTGGGACAATTAGAGAGGGTGACAATTTGAGAGGGTTTACTGTACTTAAAAATAAATTGCTCTGAGGCGACTTGTTTTTGAAACATAGTATTAAGACAGCGAATAAGGACACATGCTGATACTTAAAATCGTTTGGGGATTTCCATAAAACAAGCTCGCAATTTTGTGGGAATCCCCAAGACTAGTGCATCAACAACTTATTTTTAATTGGTACTATTGCTATCTACAATCTTGTTGTTTGATTTCATGTTGCAGATTAAGAAAAATCATAGATGCTAGACGATTACATCATACTAACCCGTCTACCTTTTTTTATCGTTAGGTGCTCAACTGCTTGTATCAAAGTTGCATGATCAATTTTAAAAAGTTGAATGATTGAAGCAAAGTTTCAGGGGCATTCAATTTTTAATAATAAATATGATATCTTGCATTTGAAAAGAAATACAATGTAATGAAAGTAAATTTAGGAAAGCAATTGGAAAATATATATTTATTGAAGTTTAGATTATAACACTGTTGAGTGGCATCAGTAAATTAGACTCTGTTACCAGGTTTATCTAATTCACATCATAAGATACAATCTTCTTCAATAAATAAAGGGTGTAACGCGTAAAAAGTGAAGATTATTTTAATTTGATAAGAATGAATATGGAGAAGACAATGATAAGAATGTCCAGTTTGTGTCTTCTTCTCTTTCCGTCAACATTGTTATCTTTGTCTTAATTTTTAACACTTTAAAATAATCTTCACTTTTTACGCGTTACACCCTTTAAAATGAAGATGGAGATGATGATTGAAATTGTGATAATTGAAAGTTTAGAAAAAAAGGAATCGAAAAAAGTATATAAGTTGAAAGATACAATCAATCAGTTAGTAATTAGAATATTTGTTTCTTTTTTGTTGAATTAAACAGTTGAATTTTTCCATTTTTTTGTTTACCATAGTTCACCATCTTTTTCTTTGCTAGGCACTTCAATAACTCTAGGTTTATCAATTATTCGAGCAGTTCTATTTCCTTTTTCTACAATGCCAATAATCCAAGCTGAATATCCTTCTTGTTTTTCAATATCTTTACAAAAAGCAGCCGCTTGTTCTCGTGGTAAACAAATTAACAACCCACCAGAGGTTTCAGGAGAGTATCCTTGTAATAATTGGAACATACTGCTACAAGCTCTACCAACTGCAGCCATTTTAGCAATGATGGGTAGATTGTGAATAACAAAGGAAACTTCATTTTTTTGGTTTTTTGCTAAATTTTGAGCATGACCAAGAATGCCGAATCCTGTTACATCGGTAGCACCATGAGCATTATATTTATGCATAAGACGTGCACCTAAAAACATAAAAATTATAAATTAGCAACATGAGGTATAATGAAATACAGCATCGAAAGTAAAGTTAGAGCTGGTTACGTTATCTTTTGCACATTGTTTGGTAACCAAGCATATTTTAATAGCAAATTTTTAGAGATAAATTAAGCACAATCAACATCAGCCCGAAACTCATTGGTCAAGGCATTGAATCGTTGTTGATTGTGCTTAATTT